GAACAGTGAGTTGTAGCCAGTTGGGTGCTGTTTATATAAAATGTCACTAAAATTATTACACCTTTCCTTCCCTCCATCTTTACAAGAAGAGGTGAAAGGCAATGTGTGCCATTTCTTTGTGTGACTGCTGTTTCAGACATCTGATGGAGAAAAGTTTCTGAACTGAGGGCAGGGTTTCTTTTCTCTGATCTTGTTGGCTTAGGAATGATTAATGTGTTTCACCAAGCTGGAAATCCTAGCCTAGTGGAACTGCCAAAACTGAAGACATTGAGCCTCTTCAAAGCTAAATAGTCCAGTTTTCAGTTGTGGATGCTGTTTTTGTTTTGAAGTCTCGCTGTAGTGTTAATTGTACTCAAAATGGGCCTCCACTATAGACAGAAAGTTTGATGTGCAGCAGGATTCTCTCTAGCTTGTTTCTAAATTGCAAGTGTAGTAGGCTTCAGTCATCTTCAATTTTTGTGTGTTCTTTTCCAGTAACATGCAGAAGCTGGGAGTAAACCCATGTCTGTTTTTTGAGAGCACCCACTAGAGATTTTGGAGGATTTGCTGAGGCAGTTCTGCTCTCATGAGTAGTGACTGCTTCCAGTTCTCCTTTAGGATAGCATTTTCTGCCTCTGCTGATTGCTCCCCAGAGGTGTACAGCTCGTTCTGTAATTCTGTTACTTCTTTGCAGGATCTGTTCCTGATATAATTCTTTATTTTTCTGGCTTGATTTTCATTTGTTAGTGTTGGCACCCACTGTTCGTTTACAGAGTCGTGTCAAACTAAAAGCATCTATATTTCATGGTTTTGCAAAATATTTTTCAGCTACATTTTTGAATTTTCCATTTGCTTGTGGACAGTTTTGTTTTTTTTTTTTTTACTTCCTAATATCTCATGGGCAAGAATTCTTATAAGAATTTATAGTAAGCAACTTTTGTCTGTTGTGTCCTCTAGAACTAAGACAAAGATTTTAGATTTGCTGTTTTTGTTGTTTTTTTTTTTTTTTTTTTAAAGGCTTATAATGTAATGTCTGTAACAAGGCTTTTAAAATAATTCTGTGTTCCCAATACAAAATACAAGGCTGAATTACTTGTTAAGCATCCCGTACTGCAAATCCATAAGCCAGCAACTAAGTCTGTTAGAACTAAAATACCATATTGTACCACTTCAGTTTTTTCTAACTGTTGTAAACATGCAGGGAATTGTGAAGAGAGATGAAGTCGTGTTCAAGGCTGCCAGAAGCCGTGGAATCCCAATTTTGATGGTGACATCTGGAGGCTACCAGAAGAGGACTGCCCGCATTATTGCTGATTCTATCCTCAACTTGCACAACCTGGGGCTTATTGACAAGGACCTAGCAACCAGCGAAGCTGAAAATCCTAAGGTAGAACAGATGATTAGGGACTCTGTAACAGACTTAACCAATTTATCACTGCAGTGATGGTTAAAAGTTTTTTTCCTTAAATTTGGCGTTTTAGGAGCAGGAAGTTTCCAAGGTTAATATAAGAAATTCACAAAGGACTGAGCTTGCCTGTAAAATAACCTAGTATGGACAGCACACAGTTGCAGATTAGCTGTGTTTAACTACTGAAGCTGTCTAGAGCGAAGGCAACAAATCCTTCTGTGCTAATTTACATGTACTCAAGAGTACCTTGTTTCAGTTTATAATCTTACTGTAGAAAGCTTTAATTGCTTCCTATTGTTATGGATTGTCCACTGTGTTCAAAGAACTGTGTGGTTGGACTTTCCCAGGCCCATTTGGTGGTATGGTTCAGACAGTGGCTGGAGTAATCTGCACTAAACTTATTGGTATTATTCTTAGATACTGCATTGTATTTACTGCTTTTTTAAAGGTTGTTATAGCAGTTCTGTGCAGTCTTTTACTTTCAGTTTAACACTCAAGTGCAATAATATGGAGAACAGTTCAGTTGCTTGGCTTTTAAGCCATAGCCTATCAGAATGAACATTTGTTAATGTGTATTTTGTTCCTGTTTACTACAGTGACGTAGATTCTGCTTCTAAGTACACTGAAAATAGAGTATGAAATGTCTTTGGCTTTGTATGCAGATGGGCAGTAAGGGATCAGCAATAAGTGTAATTTTTGCCTCTTGAAATGAGGCCTGCATTTATAGGCAGTAGTTACTATGCATTGTAGTTTGTTTACTCTGACTTAGTAGAAAATTAAACCTAATTGTAGTGTTCTGAGAACTGTTGCAGAAAATGTCACGTAGAATTATGAAATACTTTTTATCACCAACTTGTCATATATAAGCCTTGCAGAGTAAATTTCAATTTTTTTCCAGCTAGTACCGTTTTTCACTTGCTTGAAGATTACTGATAGTCATAGCTACAGTCGTAGTTGGTAACCAAATTGTTTGTGTTTAGAAATAAAAGACTGTGAAACTTCTACAGTAAGCTAATGTAATAACCTTATATGGGAGGTTCTAGGAGGTACTATGATAGGAGAACAAAGTAGTGCATTCAGATGCAAATTATTGGTGATTGACTGTAATGTTTGTTTTTGTTGGTACATTATGTATTAATTACTGCTTGTAGCATTGGATCTTAAATGTACTAAATTCTATATTTGGCAAGAGCTTTCTTAACTTCCAGGTATTCACTGGTCTTCTGTTCAGGTTTGAGCCTTTCTGTGAAGGGACTCTTGATGTTTTCCATGTAGTAGAATTGGTGTGTAAGCTATTTAAGGAATGTTTCATTCTGATTAGAATACTTACCTCAGTAATGTCATTTTTAAATGTATGATGTTTATTAATGGTTGGAATTTGCACAATTGCTATAAATAGCTGCTTTAAACCAGATTTGGCATATTGCACTAATCTTGATTTGCAGCACCATTGTTAAAAGGCACTTTTAAACTTCTTATTATAGGTGGTCAGAGTACAACTAATGTGGAGATTTATTTTTTTCTACACTGTGTTACTGAAAGATGTTGGTATTCTTTCATATAATTTTTATAAAATTATAAATGAAATTTCTATGAACTAAAATGCTGTAATAGTGCATATTCTGTTTGTGTTAACTTGTTTGTTTTACTTTAACACAGTAAAGATTAAAATAATGTTGAATAATGCTGGCGACTTTGCTTTTCACTTATTTTGTCTGTAAATATTTTGGATGAAACACTTCATTAAAAAAGGTGCTTTTTTTGGCAGTTAAAATGTAGCTGAAACTGCAGCATATCTCAAGGATGAGCAGTACAGTGTTCGTCAACAGTGGAGGACTTCTCTTGCAATTACCTTGTTGGCCTCTCAAGTGAAGTTGGAGTTACGTCTGTAAATATTAAAGGAATCATAAGGTCATCATAAGGTGTTCAGGTTGCTTTCTAATTCCATATTGCATTCTAGACGTGACTAAACTTTTAAGTTGAATTTAAACTTAGTGCATTATGATTCATATCAAATCTTGTTACCAGTGGACAAGGTGCACCAAGCACTGTCACGGACACATCTGCAGGTACCTGCAACCATCAGAACTGGCTGCTGGAAAGCTGAATAGTAGCAGATGATGATGGGAAAAGAGGTGGGACTTCTATTCATTTGGGGTTTTCTTTTTGTTTTTGCTTCCTTTTTTTGAGTTGCGTTTTTTTACTATAAATCTTCCCATAATAGGAAGGAATGTTTCACAACTGCTGCCTTAACGTGTAACAAAACACATCTCCTGAAGAAAGGCTGGTTGCTCATCTTTCCTAATATCGGTTTTCACTCAAATTCTTTAATTAAGAATAGATGCATCCAAAAGCTTATAGTACAAAAGAATTTTTTTCAGTCAGCCACATGTGAAATGTGTTGAAAAACCTGAGGAGTTGATGCTGTTGTCTCTGATCTAACAGTTGGCCTGGTGAGTTTGACCCCTATCTCCTCACCTCTGTGTTTTACAGTCTATATGCAGTGTAGAAATTGGTGTTAAAAGCACTGTGCATTGTGTTAATATCTCACAATGACTGCATTTTAGATACAGATGGTAATATCAATCTCTTTCAACTTGAATGTGATTTTTTTTGGACTTCTGATTTTTTTTTTTTTTTTTTTTTTTTTTTTAACACCTTGGATTCTGAAGTCCCAGACTTCTGTCATAAATACAAGGAAGAATTTGAGAAACGCTGTTGTCAGCTATAATAATGCTATGGATTGGTAGTCAGTTTATTGTGTGCAGGGCAGGGACATTTTACAATGAATAATAGCTGTTTGGACACACAGATTCCCTACCCCTTGCAGCTTGAAGAACCTGATGGTTCTGAAATCTGACCTTTCCTTGCTGCTGCACACCAGTATCTCAGCCCTCTCTTACGCATACAGTTCTTTTGAGTGCTGTCTGCATACTTTTCTGGTGGGCTGTGAAGTGACTCATTTCTTGTACTTCACAAATTATGCTACGTAATTGTGTCCTACAGCATAGTCACTTTGGGGAGAATGCTCTGACAAATCCAGATGTTAATAAGTTGATAATCTTGGAAATGGTCTTTGCTCACACTGTTCTGCCAAAAGCTAGAGCTGGCGGACTTCAGGGAGCTGCAGCTCTATGATCTTGGTGCTGTGTACTCTGCTAGTTGCTGAACAATTGAAAATATTCTGTGTTCCAGAAAACTGCATCTCCCTGCAAAAGAAGGAAGTTCATTTATTATCTCTAGTCAATGGGAAATGATCTTATAATCCCTGGTTGATTCTGAAATGCAGAGCATGTCAGAAACAGAAGGCCTAATCCCAAGTGGTTCTGTATCTTGAATTTACCTTGAATTTAGACTGTCCCAACTAGAGGAAGGCCCAAAGTTGCTTGATAGGTACTCGTGTTTATCTTGAGTTTGAAATAGGTGTTATTCCCAGGCTTCTAGTTTTAATTTGACCCTGATGGTTTTTTTTTAATTTCTTGGATTTCCCATCCAGTGCTCATCTACTTTTTTTGCTTTCTGTTATACTTTGTGTTGACAACTTTGCTAATTATTTTTTTTCTTACTTCAAAGAGGAACAGAATTAATTCCTTCCACAAAGAGATAACATTTTGGTCTTATTACCGTGTTGGATTCTCTCCTATGCTTACTGCAGCAGTGAAAAGAGGAGACTGGTTCTGTTCATTTCCCAAATCAGTGCAATATGGTATCCACCTTTAGATGATGCTTAGGAAAAAGTAAACTGCTGCCTTACTTTACTGCTGCATCTCAAATGTGCAAAAATGCTACATCTTGCGTATTTGAGTGGCTCTGAATTCAAAATGGGCTGATAAAACAAATTAACTGAACTGATGAGATAGAGTAGGAGGTCACTGTGGTGGGGCTGTGGCTCTGGCTTGCTTGCTCACTGCAGTTCTGACATTTCTCCCAAAATCTGAGACCAAACTTCTGGCTGGGGATGGAATCAATGCAAAATTTTTGAGGAAAGTGTCAGTGCTGTAAGGCACACCTTGTTATAGCAGTCCTGTGGTATTGTGTTGGACCAGGGTGATGGGCTGTGGCACGTATTTCCTTCCCTTTTCCTCCCTCCAGAACTAATGTTGCAGGTAATTAAACTATGTTGTCAAATATAGAGCTAGTTATGCATCTCATTAATCAGATCCAGACTTCTGTGTTTTGCAGTTGAATGTAACTTCCTTTGAGCTTGGCTGGAACAGAGACTGGAACAGATTATCTTTATTTTGGAAATCCATGTCTGAGTTATATAAAAATGAGGGAAATAAATCTGAGGCCAGCATAGAAGGATGCTGCTTATCTATGCAGTGTCTTCAAGTTAGTCCTTAGAAGAGTTGTAACAAATGCAGTGCTTTGTAAGAGAGAAAAGATGTCTCCTTTCTTTCAGTTTTGACATCGTAAGAAAAATTACAATTAATCCTGCTAGCCAAATGTAGCTTGTCATTTGTCTGTGCTTTTGCCCTTGTATTTACTTAAGTACAGAAGAGAGTAAAAAGGATTTAGGATAATTGAAGAGAGGAGACAAGGAAACTGAAAATTTCTTGAGTAAAAAATTGCAGTGTGCTTTCTTTACATAGGATGTGACATTGAGAGCTGCTTTTTGTATGAATTGGGTACAATTTTTTTGTTTGTTTGTTATCAGATATCAGCATATTTTATTTTACTTTTTTTTTTATGTCTTGCAGAGCTTCTGTTTTCATTCTTTACTAATCTTTCCTGAGACTACCACCCATCAAAATTGTAACCAAGAACATTTAACTATTTTACAGAGGTAAACATGAAGGCTAAGTGGAGTTTAAGCTTAATTGTCTTGTTTCTTAGTTACAGCAGCTGCTGGTCACTTACTGTATGGATTCTCAGCAATGGATGTATACAGATACCCTGCATGTGTGCCTGAGTAAGTGGCATGGATGCACAGCAACTTCTGTTGATAACGCTTTCTGTTTTGGGTTAAGTAGCTTGGTAGAGAATGAGATGTTTGCTTCTTGAATAGAAATCATTCATAATAGCTTGTTCAGCAATTGAAAGAAGATTCCATTTTAACTTGATTCCTTTGAAAAGCAAAACAAATTGACAAATATCAGAAGTAAATGGAGATGTTCTTATGGTACTTCCAGAAGCTAGTGTGTCTTGATGGTTCTCAATTTCAAGGACTTGGAGTACCACTGTAGATTAGATGAGTTAGTCTTTGCCAAGACTACATCCTGTGATAATCAGAGAAATACAGATTAATGGAAAGCAGAGAGAAAAAGGAATAGCTGCAGGTGACATGATGCAACTGCTATAATCACTCTCAGGTTGATATGATAATGCTGCTTGGGCTTAGAGGAAGGAATGGTATCAAATGCAGCCCTGCTCATTGCTTGTAGGAATAAAAAGTGGGTGACATTCTGTATTAAAATTCCTAATTCCTGCTTTTCCCTTCTTCCAGAACACTTCATTATTTGAACATCGGGAGATTCAAATGATATTTTCTTAAAAATAAAAAAAAGTGTGGATTATTTTTTTTGTAGCCTTCATAAGAATTCTCAGATGGGCACAAGCCATGGATTAGCTGCAGTCCAGCAGAGCAGTTGAGCATGGGCTGCAGCTCAGGCACCCCAAGGAGATGATAGCTGCTCTGTAAGAGGGGCTGCACTTCTCTGCATAGCTCAGCAGCACCAGCTGCAGCCTGACGGCTGGATGATAACATCTCTGAACACTGGGCATGTGATCCTTGTCTCAGCAATATCTTAATGTCAGTTTTCAGGTAGCCTTAGGAGGTTACACAGTACACTGCCTATTACGATCCATGTTTTAAAGCAGGTTTGTAACCATTTCCTAAAATGCTTTCAGTGGAAGTCTTTAAACTACTGGGACTTGCAAACAGAAATATTGAAATTAACTTTTTCTGGAGGAATTGTTTAAACTTCATGGTATGCTGGCTCTGAGATTAATTTTGAGGTGAAATTTCTTGATCTCTCCCATTATTTCTAAGAGTCACCTTTTGTTAATTAAAAAGCAAAAACAACAGAACGCAATTTCTGTACGACTTTGTTTTAGCAGCGTGAAATGTGGAACTAAGAGAAAATAGTCCTTAAAGGATTTGTACTTACATTTTAAATTAAATAATGTACTTAAAATTATTCATACCATGTTAGGATCAGAGAGCAAAATTCTGCGAACACAGATTGGATTTCTGTACTCACATCTCAGATACCCTCTAATGAGGTTGTGAAGCCAGAGTAGAGATTCATCGCATACCTCCAAACACAACTGGCAACAGTAAGTACTGAAAGTCAAATAATTATTTTAGATGGTGGAAACAGAAGCTGGGAGTCTGTAGGAATTGCAGCATGCTATGTTTGTGTACAGGATATGTACAAGGCTATGAAGTTACAGTGCATCTCCTGAAGTGTTACAGCAGAACTTCTGCTAAATTTTACATGGCAAGAAGTGTAAGACCCACTCTTCCATGCAGTCTGCAAATTGACAATTAAATTTGAGATCTGTGATATCTTAAATAATGATTAGAATGAAATGGCAGCTGCAAAGTTGAGTCTGATACTGTTATGAGTACTGAGTACTGTTATGTCAGAATGCCTTGCAATTGACAATAGCTTTTTGTGCGTTGATCTGGTTTTATACAATATTTATAGACAGGTGTTTTCTTACAGGATTGCCAGGAGTGTTGCTATCACTCTGAATGTTTTAGCTTGTTAAATAATAGATCATTAAGGTTGGAAAGACCATTAAGATCATCTGGCCCAGCCATCAACCCGTGCCTGTGACATCTGTCCTTTTTTGAACACCTCCGGGGATGGTGACTCCATCACTTCCCTTGGCAGCCTGTTCCACTGCCGCTCTAGATTTCTAAGAAGAATTTTTTCCTAATATCCAATCTTAACCTCCCCTGGCACAATTTCAGGCCATTCCCTCTCATCCTGATGCTGTTACCCAGGAGCAGAGGCCTATCCCCACCTCACCACAACCTCCTCAGGTCAGGCAGTTGTAGAGAGCGATAAGATCTCCCTGAGCCTCCTCTTCTCCAGACTGAATAATCCCGGTTATTTCAGCTACTCCTCATAAGGCTTGTATGTGTAGGGAATGTAAGGCTCCATTCTCATGTTACTGTTAAAGTCTCAGTGCACTGCATTAGTAAAATCATTATGATTATTAATAACCATTCAGATAGTAACAGTACTATAAGAAATAGTGAACTGTCTGAATTAGCAATTAAGATACTTTATTTGATTTGCAAAAAGAAAAGCCTCATTGTGTGTACACTGTTGGTTTACAGAGGAAGAGGTAACATAAATGATCATTGTGAGCCTTTTCACTTTGGAGCTTGTTGTTTAATATGTGCACGTTGCTTTCTTTCTGCTCATAAAAATGCTGTTTGCCCAAATGAACAGCATACACAAGCAGGAATGTGCAAGGCAAGAGTGTATCCTTCCATGCCAGCATGCTGATTGAATTAAAGAATTTCATGAAGTGTGGCAGCAGGAGTGCTGATGAACTGCAGACATGTTTTTAGAGCTGGCTGCTTATGCTTGAGAACAATATTAAGAACTCCAAAAGCTTACCTTATTTTGACCTCAGAAAAGTAAATGTGACTGTCTGAAGGTTAACAGGCTATAATGGTTATGTTCTGAACTGTGTAGTTGCAGTAATTCTATCTTATTTGTAAGTACCTGAGGTTTTTGATGTAATGGGTCTACAATGAGAAATAAAGCTGAGTCAGCAAATGAATACAATGAACTGCATTCAAAACAATTGCCATCTGTTTTTTTATATCCTTTCCTGTTAAAGCTGGAAGGCTGATTTTTTTATTTTTTATTTTTCCAAATGCTACAACAGAAATTAGGCATTCCTGTGTTTTAATGTGGCTGCTTTTATGTTGTTCACAACTGCAGAGTTACATATGCTGTCTCACTTTCATACTCCAAAGCTTCTTCAGATTATTTGCTGAAATGAAATATTTTCAGGATGCAGGCAAGACCAAACCTTTTATTCTTCCTTAGGGGTAAGCAGTCATTACTTAAGCCTTACTAAATATTGTTTTAAATAACTATATATGTTGTAATTCTATTTGAATGATTTGTTATTGAGGTCAATTTTACCAAAGAAAAAGGAATGAGAGAGGGATGGCAAAGGGTAATAGTTACTGTTTGATGAAAAAGAAAAGAAGAACAAGTAGGGGGGAAAAAAAGCTTTAATTCACACTATCTTTTCCCAGATAAGGACAAGGACAACTTCAGCTCAAATGTGGACACCTACGAAGCGGTGGCAAGGTCAGTGCTTAGAAAGTCGGGCCTGATTTATTGTGCATTTCTACAAGGGCAGCGTTTGGAGGGTTGGATTTGATTTAGTTTTTATCACTAAAGTACTGTCAGGAGAGGAAAAATAAAACTACCATACTGTGGATGAGCTGAAATCAATAATGGTCACAGAGAAGAGGTATAGTTCTCATATTTTGAGTTTGTTTTCATTTTGAGGCATGTTCAAAGACCTTGAAATTTTCCACAGTATGGAAAATTCAGCATCTCAGTAAAATACCATCTTTGAGATGTAGTGAGTTGATAGGATCTGCTTCCACACTGGACAGCAAAATGTATGTACACCTTTCAGTCTACTTAGTATGGTCACAGCATTTTAGAAGCCTGTGTTCTGGAGGTGCATGGCATCCTGCTGGTGACCTATGGTATGGTTGATAGGGGGCACTTGGAAATGTTGGTGTGCTTTTTTGTTTGTTTTTTGAGTTTTAGCAGTGGTTTAAAGAGTATATAGAGACTCATAGGTTTATTTTAGTTTGCGAGTTCACAGTGGAGAGAAAAATAATGCCATTGCTCGCTCTTGAGCAGCAACTGTTATCTGTGCTGTCTGAAGGCAAAAGCCATGCTTTAAGGCACAGGCAGGGAGAAGTCCCAGAGGACATCAGAAAATGGTAGCTAGCAAAGGCTATTTTAGGCTTAAGGTTGATTGTACTGATACTTAGAAATGTTCTGGTTTTTTGATTGCTTTTCATTTTTCCCTTCTATTGTTGGCAGTAGCTCAGGTTCACCAAACTGAACTCCTGGTGTATCTGATACTTGTGGTTCTGGTTACATTTCATCTTTCTTCATCTGCTGTAGCTGTTTTGCAGTTCATCTACTTAAAAGGAGGTGGAAAAGATTTTGCAAATTAAGGGCTGGCTCAGTTCTTCCTTTGACTATCTGGAAGAATTCTACTGAGAATAAAACTGTACATCTGAAAAATATGTATGCTGCTTTCACAATGATACTTCCACTGCTTCTATGAAAATACTTTGCTTCTCTTTTGCACTCTATATGGGTAATTTTCAAGCTATTCTTTAGCAGAAGACAGGAGGATCCAGTCTCTGTCATCAACCAGAAGTTGGGTTATTTTTGGTGACAGAATACTGCACGTGAAAGTTTCTTTGAACATATCTGTGTGTTGCAATGTATGCAGCATTCTGCTCTACTGAAACTGGGTTCCTGAATTGCATTGAGTCTGTTTCTTACAGGAAGAAATCATAGAATTGAGTTGGAAGAGACCTTTACAGGACATCTGGACCAACTCCTCCGCAATGGACAGGGACACCTACAACTCAGAGCCCCATCCATCCTGAGTTTGAGCGTCTCCAGGGAAGGGGCAACCACCACCTTTCTGGGCAGCCTGTGCCGGTGCCTCACTGCTCTTACTGTAAAAATTTTCTTCCTTATATCCAATCTAAATCTCTCTTCCTTTAGTTTGAAACCATTTCCCCTTGACCTGTCACAGTAGACCCTGCTAAAGAGTCCCCCCCCTTCTTTCTTATAGCCCCTGTCTGGAGTCTGACAGGCTACTCTCAGTCTCCCTACTAGGCTCTAAAAAAGCCCCAGCTTTTTCAGCCTGTTCAAGTAGTGGAGGTGTTCCATCACTTAAATCATTTTTGTGGTCCTTGTCTGGGGCCGCACTCCAACAGATCTATGTCTCTCCTGTACTGAGGACTCTATGTCTGTACACAGTATTCCAGGTGAGCTCTCACAAGGCAGAGCAGAGTGCCATCTCCCTTGCTCTGCTGGCCACGCTTCTTTTCAAGATGATATGGTGGGCTTTCTGGGTTGTAAGGGCATGTTGCTAACTTGTGTCCAGCTGACAGTTATAAAGGCTACCACAAAAATGACAGAAAAGGTAGGGAGTTGCAGTGATTGAGAAGTTGAAGTCTGATGACCAGAGAGGCTTTCTTCCATGAATAACTAACATACGGAGCCAAAGTGAGGCCACAAATTGTAGAAACAATTTGCTTTGCCAATGATCCTTAGAGGGGGGGAAGTTGTTCTGGCCCATCTAAATAGAACTCCTTTTATGCCTAATAAAATACAAATTTCAAGATGAAACTTCAGTGTTAAAAGATATTTAATTTATTTATACTTATTTGACTATTTTCTCATGAATTATGGAGATGTCTCAAAGCTTCCCCTTCACAAACCTAAGCAGAAGTGACAAAACAGTGGTTCAATTTTGATTGCATACAAATTGTAGAGGAACTTATCTTTGCTATTGGTGTGTGTGTGTGCATATAATTATTTGGCACTGTGTGATGACTGTTCAGCCAGTTTTTACTGCAAACAAGGATTGTATTTTGTCACCAAGGCGATTTCCTTCACAGCAGTCCCTGGTCCAGCTTATGCCATAAATCACTGATGTGTAACCAAACCACAGAATTTAGAGAATAGAGACTTTTTTTTTCCCCCAGATTTCAAGAGCTCTCCTTGTTTCTTACGAGTTCCAGGACCTGTGGTTGAAAATGATGGCCATCACTTTCTCTTTGATTTCACCTTTGTGACAATATCTGATAGGGGTAGGGCTCCAAATTAAGTGTGTGATGGCTTGTGCTGTGGCTAATTATCTTTCCCATTTGTTACCTAGTAGAATTTTGTAACACTGGGATTTAAAGTTTGTCAATTTTCACTATCTTTCCTCCTGAACTTGGACATTTCTGCCAAGGCCAACAATGAAACGAGCACATTAAAATAATAAATCTCCAGTGAACAGACTAAGTTATTTACTTTGGATGAACAAGACTACATGTAAAACTGGGGAGTGTTTGGGGTTGATTGGTTACTGGAGGTGGGAGTGCTCTAAGAGTCAAATGCTTCTACAACAAGCTTTAGTTGTGGGAACATTTGAGTCTGAAACGTGAAAGAATGCAGACCTTTCAAAATATGGTATGTGAGAAAAATGTATGATTTAGTGTTTCCATTTCCATAGAGGAAATAGCAGTACTTTGTTTCAACCAAATGATAAATTTCCTTTAGTCATATGAGGAGGGAAATAAATACCCTCTTATTTCTCTCGTAGCAGCTAAGACAAAAGTTTAGGTATCTTAAAAATAACCTGCTAATAGAAGGACTTGGTTATATTAGTCATTAATCAGAGGATTACATTTTCCCTCTTTTTAGAGAAGACTGCTCTAAAAAATAAACAGAACTGTTAATCAGAACTTGAGATGGGATTCTGCGGTCATTTACACTGTCAGACCAGTTGTAAGCATTACTGCTTCTTGGAAAAGCTATGGTTGTTTGTTGAATAACAATAATAGTAATAATAGGATTGCAGTGCTTTGGTAAGACTGTGTTTTGGTATATGATCTTTGGTAGCACATTTTCTGCAATGTATGTTCTTCAGTATTTCATACAGCTTCCAATTGTGTATTGTAGGGAAACATGGACAGAAAAACCTCTTTGCTGCATCTGGGTATTTCTTAGAGTTCTAAGTGTAGGATTGAAAACTGATAGAACTAGGAAGGGCTTTTGTGTGTCTTGGGAAATAGTGTTGAAACATAACTAGGTGCAATAATTACGTGTGGCTAAACATCAATAATAATCATTGCTACCTTTATGCCTCTCTCGTTTATTTTTTTGCTACTTAATCCTAAGAACAGGAAGGTTTTCTGAAACTGCATTAGATGTCAGAACTTAGTAGGGAAGAAGTGAACTGAATTTGTAGGTTACTGAGCTACCTGATGCCTAAGATGGTTTAATCTTAGTGTACTGCGAGGAGTGGGATCTGCAGTGCTGATTTCCTCAGAAATGGAAGTAGTTGTTTGAGAGCTGAAAGAAGATTCATGCTTGTTGTGACTCTGTCTGGAATGAACATGGCTGGCTTCTGGCAGCTTTCTCTTATGGTATTGCACAATGGAATTCAGTTTGAGTTTGGGAGACGTAATTATGTGATGTTGCAGCAGTTGTACAGTTGTACTATTTCCAGTGACACAATTTAAAACCTGCTTCCACAAAGTTATACACCAGTGGGATGATCATTGCAATTAAAGTCAAGAATGTCCTTGTATGTGTTGTGGCATAGTCAGAATTCTATTTGATGGAGTCTGGCAGAGGCGTGTGGTCTTGAATTAGTATCCTTTCATAACAGATTTGTGGCAGGTCTCTTAAATGTGCAAAAAAACATGAGGTGTGTTATTGAAATTTAAACCTTTATTGCATTTATAAATAAGCATTCTTCAGTAATATTTTTAAAAGTATGCAGTTCAACAAGCTTTGAGCTACTGTATAAATCTCTTCATAAGCTGCTTCTTGGTCTACTTCTCATTATGGTACCATAATTGTGTGGCCTGGTTTGCTTCCAGTAAATTGCCTCTCTGGCCCAGTGGCAGCCCTACTACCGTCTCTTATTCAACCTGTCTTCACAGGAAGAGTCCGAAAAAGCATGGTAAGGGGAGAGATGACCAGTGGCTACCATACACTCATGGGGAACCCAGCTGCCCAGATGGGTTGTGTAGTCCTGCGGAGGAAAATCCTGTGCCTTGAAGAGAACGTATACCAACTACCCCTTTGGTAGCTCTATTAAAAGATGTCTTTTTCACGTGCATGCAGTTATATTTTAACCCTCCAGTCTATCTTTGGTAAGTTACTTGCTTGTTGCAGAAGGCCTAGTGGTTTTGTATTTTAACTGGAAGAAATGTCTATTGAATGTGTGTTGAATTTGGAAATCTGATTTGGCTCAATTAAAATGTGATTAAACTTTCTGTCTCCATTGTAGAAGCTGTTAGTGCTCTGGAGAAACATTAAATGTTGAAGGCTGGCCTGCTGGTTTTGGCTGAAATAGAGAGAAATATGCAACGCTCTGAGAAATTCCAGGACTCCCACTAGGTCAAAAATTTTCTCTCAACTGTAGCATTTCATCAAGTTCCCCTGGTAACGTGTCTCAATGTATCACAATCATGATTGCTTGGAAATCCACCAGCTCTGCAATGAGCTGAGAATATTTATTGCAAGTGCTAGATGGCATTCTCTTAGTAGAGATCTGGTTAGTTATTTCCATACATCCCAGTTTCAGAGTGAATGTTTCATTTATCTTACTGTATGTTACATGCTTTGGATTAGACAAATTCAGTTATGAGTATGTATCTGCTATATATATATGTAATTAATTACATTATTAATTAACCAGTCTGAACATTTAAATCGAAGCTAAATCACAAGTTAACAATTCTTTGGGAAGCTCTTGGTGTAATTCAAAACACTGTGGAGATCTTCAAAACCCCTGTGTTAGTCACCTTGTTATAACCAGACTAATTGGGAACTCTGTGATACCGGCTTGTTTCAGCACATCTAATTTTTACAAGACCCACTTCAAGCTGATCTTTTTATGGAATGTGATTTTTAATTTTCTTTTCCCAGGTAAAAATAAAGAAAGCTTTACTTGAGGTTTGTGGTGCACCTGTTCTCTGCTCTAAAGCTGGCTGACAGCATAGCTGAAATCTCACAGCAGACATTTCCTGGCTTTGGTACAGTGTTTTCGAGCAAGCTGCTAAAAGTGGTCTAGCAAGTTGTTATTTCAGGAATCATTTTCAACTGAAGGAACAATGTGATTTGCATAAAGAACCAAGAAACTCTTCTTTTGTTGCCACTCTGGTCTAAAGATGTCATTAATATAGTAAGTCTGTAGTAAGATGAGCTGGTTATTTCCTCTGGAGTCAGAGTATGTTTAGTATTTTTTGACTCTGTGATGTGCTGAGTCTCCTAGACCCTTATTCTAGGATGCATGTTTCAAGACCATTTCAGGAGTCTTCACAGTGACCTGATGTACTGTTTCTTCATGAGAAACTTGGGAAGCAGAGGTGGCATATTTCATATTGTGGGCCTCCCAGCATCATCTCCACGTGGTCCCATATGGTAAAGGGCTATCAGTTTTCTTTTCAATACCCTGCCTGTTCTGTTCTCATAGAAGCACTCACGATAGTGTTCAGAGATTGTTTTTGACTTCATGGCTTCTTAAAAAATATTAAAAGGTCCTAAACGTAGCTAATAGGACATCAATAAACGTTAACTGGGACCTAATGTTTGGGCATCTTGGGCCTGTTTAGTTCCTGTTAAGTCATGTGTGAGGCACCGTAGTGATGTTGTGGAACTCGTGCAGAGGGAGCTGCCAGAGGTTGTGCCATGAGGATCTGTGTGACAAGGAGCATCCTGCTGGGCTCATGGCTCTGTCCAGTGCTATAACCACTAGGGGACACTGCCTCATTGTTACTGGGGAAATTAATCATTACATGTTTAATGCCAAATTGCAGAGGTTTTCCTCCTGCTGGCTTAAGTTAATCTCAGATGCTATCAGATACTATTTATTTATTTGTTTTGTGCCCTAACTATTTACAGTGCTGCCATATGCTCAGGTTCTACTTTAAGAGCTGAATCGATGCCCAGAGAAAGGCAGCTCTGCTGCTCTTCCCCAGGTGAAAACAAATGCCTTGTCTTACTGCTCTGTGTCTCTGAAAAAGTGTCTTTGGGGGCACAGCTTTGCTTCCTTTGGGAAGGAAGAAGGTACAATTTTTGTTCTTCTGTCTTCATCGCAGACAACTTTAACAGCTTCCAAACTAGGCTGTCTGGCAAATAGTGTTTGGTTTTGTTTTTTTTCCTGAATTTGAGCCAAATGGGAATACAGAGACATTTCAGGGAAAACTGACAGAATTTGCTGCTCCTTTCATTGACTCCAGTAATTATAAACTGATCCCATGGTAGCAGCAGGACTGCATCTAGACTTCAAACACCATGATTACGTTCAAATAACTGCTCCAACAATGAGGAATATCTCAAAAAGTAGTAAATATTCTTGTGTTCAATCCTACAGCTCATTCCTGTTGTACCAAGAACTTACCGAGTTTGTACGTCTTTCCTCATGAATCAGATAAATGCATCTCCTCCACGAGCTGCCTATTTTCTTGTATACTGTGCATCACTTCCCCTGCAGATTGGAAAGAGGTAATTTGCTGGTTAAATTACAGAGCTGGCTCCGTTATGTTGTCATGAATCACTGAGATGTCTAAGATTGAATTCAGCTCTGATAAAGTGGTGTTATAGCAGTGAGGAAATATGATGGTCTGGAAGTATTCATCAGTCAATTCCTATGCTGTGTCAATACTGGTATGCCCATGTGCATTGTATAGGAACTGCTTACATTTATCTGCAATGCATCTTGCTGATTTTCAGCGTCTCCCTCTGTACAAGATCTCCAAAATGTTCACTTCATGTGGAAAATCTTGTATTTTATTAATAATGGTGATGCAAAGAACCTAAAAGAGGAGCCTAGAAGGAAAAAAATAGAATTTTGTCCTCTATAAATGACTCTTACAGTCCAGATGTGCATACAGAGCTCGATCGGTTCTATACAGCTGGAGATCCAAACCAGCTGCATAAGCAATGAAAAATGTAAATAGTTTGTGCTCACATTATTAGGAGAGCACTTGGGTTTGTCTCTAAGACTTGCTATAGGACTGCATCAAATTCTCTTCTGTGTTACATCGAATAACATGGTGGTTTTTTTTTTGTTGTTGTGAGGTCAGTACTCTCTGCAGTTTGACCTCTAGTTATACCTCCCAGGCCTGCTCACACAAACTGGTGTTTCTGCCTTGAATCAGCTCTTCTCTCTGGGGGTGTCGCTTCCGGAGTTAGCACAGCCCCCAGCTGCTAATACGATCTCTGCAGTTTGATGTAGTGCTGTATCTTCTTCCATTTCAGTGGGGCTAATGTTAAAGGAGTGAGCCTGAGTGCAGCGAACTCAGTGAAATCTGTGGTGAAAGCAGCCATAATCGAATGTTTGTTAGATTCTATGTATGTTCATAGAATTAATAATAAAATAATAATAGAAAAGAAGTCAGTAAGCAGCCCAGCTCAGTACAACTGGGTAGATGAGCTGTAAGACCTCACCATGCCACACCTGGAGCAGATCATCCAGTAAGGAAGATGTTGGCTGCACTGTGGGACTGGGCTGGGGTAGACTGGGCTGCTGGGAGTTGAGCCCTGGCTTGGTGTCTGACACACCTGGTGGAGAAAGGATGGGCCTTCATTGGGATCTGTTGCTTTCTGCTGTCAAAGCAGTTCTGCTGCTCGTGGTGATTAATTTTCTGTATCATTTAGAGGGCTCTTCTTTCCCTTTGGATTAAGGACAGCTGTAATTCTTTCCAGGACTGTGATTGTCTTGTATGTCTAACTGAGGGATGCCCGTGTGCTGCCAGGGAGCAAACCGGATCCATGCAGTGTGTGAGTGAAAGCCAGGTATGCTATGCTATACGTGGCAAGATGTTATAAAGCAATTTTTAATTATCTTGTCATTTAGAAGCAGAATATTTTTATATTGTACTCACTATTGAAATCATGGAATGTCTTTTTCAACTGCTGTTACCAGCCATTTCATAGAATAGAATGGCTTGGGTTGGAAGAGACCTCAGGATCATGAAGTTCCAACCCCCCTGCCACAGGTAGGATTGCTAGTCATTAGATCAACACTAGATCAGATTGCCCAGGGCAATGTCCAACCTGGCCTTGAACATCTCCAGGGATGGGGTATCCACAACCTCTATGGGCAGCCTGTTAAGCACCTCATCACTCTCAGTAAAGAACTTCCCACTAACATCCAATCTAAATCTCCCTTCCTGTAGTTTAAAACTATTCCCCCTTGTCCTATCTCTATCTACCAGCATAAAAAGTTGACTTCCCTCCTGTTTATAAACTCTCTTTAAAAATTGTAAGGCTGCAATGAGGTCTTCCTGCAGCCTTCCCTTCTTCAGGCTGAACAGTCCCAGCTCCTTCTATCTGTATCTTCTATCTGAGAGTCTAGCTCTCCTATCTGTATAGGAGAGGTGCTCCAGCCCTCTGAGCATCTTTGTAGCCTTGCTCTGGACCCTTTTCAAAAACTCCACATCTTTCCTGAGCTGGGGGCCCCAAATCAGGATGTAATACTCCAGATGAATCTCATGAGGGCAGAGTAGAAGGGGGCAATCACCTCCCTCTCCTCTTCTGACGGAATCTGGGATACAATCAGCCTTCCAGGCTGCAAGTGCACACGGCTGGCTCATGTTCAGTTTTTCATCAACTAAGATCCCTTGGTCCTTCTCAGCAGGGCTACTCTCCAGTTCTTCTCCCATTTTGTATACATATCTGGGATTATCTCAACCTGTGTGCAAAACCTTGCACTTTGCTTGAACCTCTTTAGATTCATGTGGGGTCACCTTTAGGTTTATGAAGGTTCCTCTGAATGGCATCCTCTCCTTCTGCTGCATCAACTGCACCACTCTGCTTGAGGTCATCAGCAAACTTGCTGAGAGTGCACTCAATCCCATCATCTGTGTCACTGATAAAGATCTTAAAGGTCCCAAGACAGATCCATTGGATACACTGCTTGTCACTGGCTTCCACCTGGATAGAGCCATCGATCACTACCTTCTGACTGCAATATTCCAACCAATTCCTTATGCATCGAAAAGTCCCTCCTTCAAATCCGTATCTGTCCCACATAGAGCCAAGATTTGGTGGGGGATCATGTCGAAGACCATGCAAAATTCCAGATGGATGACATCAGTTGCCTTCCCTTTGCCCACCAATCCTGTTACTCCATCATAGAAGACCACTGGATTGGTCAGGCCCAATCTTCCCTTGGTGAAGCCTGTTGTCACAAATTACGTGCTCATAATTTAAATTATGACATATGTATTACAGATCATCCAAGTTCTATTTAATGTTTTTGTTCTTGAAGCAGATAGCATCACTGGCTAATAGCCGTTGTTTCAACAAAGGCTGAATTAAATTCTTTTCTGCTTGTGGCTGTAAGCTGAATTCAGCTCAGTGTCTCGCCAACTGCCATGAATTGCAGATTAAAACAGAGCCCGGAGACAACCCAGGTTTCTCAGTACTGTGGGAACTTCAGGTGCTGCAAGTGCTTCAGATGTTGCCTGCCAGCTCCACCTTCAACCACATCCCTTCCTCCCAGAGGTCAGAGCTGCAGCTTCCCTGTGGCCTCTATGCTTGGCATTTGTTCAAATCCATGAATCAACCACAGGCATTCCTGGCCCAGCTCCTGCATTGCCTGTATTCATGGCCCTCGGTTCTCTGTAAGCACCAGGCCAACAGTGAGTATGCAACCTCACCAAGGGGCACATGAGAGACTCAGGTTTGGGTATATGCTACTGGATTCTGTTTAAACTTCACTCTCTGTCAAATGAACATTAATGACAGCAGAGCCTCCTGCTACACGTGGTGCCTGCCCTTGTTGGTGCCACACTGCATCCTCAGCTTCCAGCACTGCTGCTGACTCCTCTCTTGTTTTGTCCTGAGATCAATAAAAGCTTCCATTCATGAAGGACTTGAGCTTCAATGAGTGAATAGATGCCAAGTAGCCAAACCCATGAGTCTTGACTTCTTGTCTCTCTCCAGCAGTAGTACCGCATGTTGGACGTGCTTGGCCTCAACCCCAATGGCTGTAGGTGCTTGGGGAGCTCAGCAGGGGAGCAGGGTGGGCAAACCAGCAGAACCTGAGCCAGGTGCTTCAGAAGAGCTGTTGGAGAAAGTGCTGACATTTCACTCCTGACAGCTTCGTACCTGGAGCCAGATCTTAGCGTGGTGTAACTTCCACTGCCAAGAATTTTGGCGTTGATTTGATGTATGGGAGTAATTCAAAGTAGGTGGAGATGGTGAGAGGAATGAACCCAGATGAATTTTAAAATGCTTTTCAGTGAAATTTTGCTATAGAGCCAGATGATCTGGAGAGATCAAGCTCTGATGATTAAATTCCATGTTTAAATAAGTAAACATATTAGAATCCTTTAGCATTAAATCATGGTGACATTATATTAGGCCCTGAAAAGACGATTGAAAAATTACTCATTTAGCAATATTCTAGAGATTATTTTATGTGCCTGCCTTTAATATCCTCTGACATGTACTTTTAAAGTGATTTATCCATGCGTTCATAGATGCCTTCTTTGCTTGGAATACAGCAGAACCAGGTCTTTGATATTGAGATCAGCATAATTGTTCTTGGAATTTTTCTCTGGATGAAACTTTTGGCACTGATGATACTTGATGTGAAACAACCCTGTATCTGGATCTCATTCATTACAGATCTTGAAAAGAAATGTCTTGGCTTCCAGAAAGGGACATGGAACTCTTTAAATGATGCATTTGAACTATAAATGTGCATGTACATTTCAATATGTATTCCTTAAATACGCAGAGCTTATGTAAGCATCAGATTTGTATGTTATAGGTAAGTGAAAATTTTAATATTTTGCAGGCAATGGAATATGCACCTTTGTATTAAGCTGGGTTTATATGGGGTAATATTTGGCAAATATATTTCCTTGAATTCTGTTTTGGTTATGAATAAAAATCAGAAGTGTTCCTGTGCATTCAGTTCTGTCAGCTCCTTTCTGCTGTTTTTCCTGTGTTTTGTACTGGGGTGTCCAGCAGTTGTACTGGGTTCAGCAGTACCCAGTACTCTTACAGGGAGTGCTGGGCTCCTGCAGGGAGCTGGGATCCTTGGGATCCTGGCTCCTGGGCTAAGAGCAGTGCAAATGTAAAGCACAACAGCCTCTCTGCCTGTTCACAAATTACCACAATGCAGCAGCAATGCAATAGCTTTTCTGTCTCTGATCTGGATGTTTCTAATTCTGAAAAGGTGTTTATGGGCTGTGACTCATCCCGCTGCACAGCAGCATAACTACTTGTAGTGTGTAGTGTTTAACTCATCCATCTATCACTTCAGGTTCAGGTTTATCACTGCAATGGGAGGGTGGTTCCTGGAGCCGACACTGTGGATGTGCACTGGGTGGAATGGAGTGCAGTACTGGGTTGTACTAAAGCAGTTTATATGAGCAGAGCCTGGCAATTCCAACTCAGAACCTTTTACGCCATCTTTTGTCTCAGGCTGACCTATGGCATCAGCACTTAAGGACAAGAAGTGAGTTCAGTCTCATCTCTGTGCTGCCTAATGTTTGGCCTCTGCTAAGTGTACCATGACTGAAGCCAGCGGTGGTCATGTGTTTGCTTCAGACTATCATAAATTGCCTTTATTAATGGCAGATTATATAAATTTCAGCCAAGTCTTTATCAGCTCTTAGGCCAGACACCAGATAAACAGTTGGCCTCAGTCCTGGCCTCTAATAAAACTGTACATGAAACTGGATCTCAGCTTTGCTCTTTGAGCACATGCTTAAGCAGTGAGCTGGTTGCTCGGTGCTGTAAGCTGGCAGTGCTCCTCAGCCCCGCTGCCCTGGCTCTCCTGAGCACTACAGTTGGGGTTGCACCACACTTCTTTACACCTCCAGGGCTTGGCCGTGCCCCGCATTGCACATTTTGAGGCAAGCTTCTCTCAACATCTGAGTTCCCTGCATGTGACCAGAGGCACCAGGAGAAATCTGCTACAGTGGGGAAACAATTCCCAGCTGTGCTGTGGTCACTCCAGTGGGGCTTTGCCCAGCTATGTGTGCTAGCCTTGGGGTCTGGCAGCCAGAGCCCTGATGGCACATGTGGCACAGTGCTGTGGGACTGCACTGCAGAGCTCTGAGCTCTTGCCTTTATATACTGTTTTTCTAGCATATATATATTTTTTCAAGTCTTTGAAATACTTTTTGACATCTGTTCTTTATTACACAACAATATAGCTGTCCTTTTAGGAAAAGATATTTTTCATTATCCATTTCAAAGTTAACAAACGTGTTTCAGAATGCCCACGATAGCTGGGAGGGATTTGTTTCAGGTGATTTGACCATGTGGTTGAGTCCAACTACAACACTGTTTCCTGTTCCATGTCTATGTTTTACCTTGGTTGCAACTAAGCAGGTTTCTATCAGAATTATGGATTTGCTTTTATTGAAGAAATTCTTTGAGTTAGCCTGGATGGATGATGTGCAACTGGCAGGGAACCCAGCACTGGTGTACTGAGCACATCTGCTCAAGGGTTGTGTTAGGACCTTGCATGGACAGCACGGTCATGTTGGGGATTCTCTCCTTTCCAGTTAAGGTGTCACAGACATTTCAATTTTTTTACACCTAAGTGAAAAAACTATCTAAGCTTTGAAGAAATGTTAAGTATAACATGAAAAACTTTAAAACAGAGACACATAGCATCAAAAATTTGACCTCTCTTTCCCCCTTTTGTATCACATGGTATCAGTTGTGCGTCTTCCTCTGTGATGCCGGAGCTGAGCATAGGACCTGATCTGCTTTCCAAAAGAAGGATATAACAAAGGCATGGCAAAGAATACGTAGTCTGCAATGGTAAGAGTGCAGTATGTCCTGAGCAATTATCATGGCACCACCTCAGTGTTGCATCTGGGATGTGCTACAGGTACCTCTCCCCTTGCTCCTGCTCTGCTCAGGCAGGCAGAGGAGCCCCGTGCTGCACAGGGCTGTGTGAGCAAGAGGTCTTGCTGCTGCAAGTAGGGCGGGGGTTTCTCTTTGTCCTTGACTTGGGTTTGCTTGTTTGTCTTAAGGAAATGATTCAGCTTTTAACGTCCAAGGAAAGGGAAATGTTCCCTACAGAAAAGGCTAATGAGCAGAGCGTTTCATTTGCTTCTGGAAATTTGTAGTTTTTTAATTGTATATATGTAAGGGAATTTTTCTTATCTCTGGGACAGTTGGAGGATATTTCAACCTTAAAATATGAATTTCCTTTTTAGCGATGTTTAACATATATTGAAAAGAAAAAGGCTAGGCTGTATGTATGAACAGCAGTGTTGTGCCCTGAAGCACACATCCCCTTTTGACCATGTGAGTCAGTCCATGCGCAGCTGAGCAGGTAATACAGGATTTTCTGTACCTGACACCTTTTGCAGAGGCTGTGCTGGGGCTTCCAGCTCATACTGCCATCTCTTTGGTAGAGAAAATTAAACAGTAGGAATAAAAAGATAGAGGGCATTCGGTAAGCAACAAGCACCATGCTGCAAGAATGTGGATAGCAGTGTGTCTTATGTTTGCTTTAGGCATTATTTTCAGTCATATGCAGAGCACTTATCTCAGTCTGCGTTTGCAACCCAGAACAAGAGTTGAGCATTCCTATGTATGAGGTTTGTTCCATTCCAGATAGCAGCATCATGAGGGCTGCTCGTCTTCTGCAATACAGGAAAACAGTCAAGGATTGCCTCCTGAAAACTAGTGTTAACTGGACATACACAACTGACTCAGCTCGGTTACCACCTGAAATCACCCAGGGAGTTTGATCCCTCTTGTCTTTTCCAGTGTACAGAACTTGTCTGAGGAACAAAGAGAAAGCTGCTGCCCTCATAGGCAGGGGCACTTTGGTTGCAAAGCATGCGACTTCCTCATCCCTGTCCAACATATTTTGATAAGATGAGAGACTGTGTCCCTGGGCTTCGTGCTGCTTGGGGCTGCTACTCAGTGCTCTCAAAATACCCTGAGGTTATCTCCCAAGACAAGGAGCTTTGTATTCTGCACCTCAGAGCTGGGCTACCACCCTCTGCTTGCTCTGATCTGCTCTCTTAAGAATTCTGGTGTCACAACCCTAGCAGACTGGATGGAGAAAATAAGAGCACTTTGTCCTCTAAATTTACAACACAGCAGGGTGCAACTGGCTTTAGGCAGGACAGGGACCAGACCAGCAAGGCTGAAAGGCAACTGAGTTTGACCACTTCTTGATGGCCAAATGCTACTTGCTGTATTTAACCATTGTGGCTGCTGCAGTCATGGACAAGGCAGCAGCTCTGCATGAGTCCTGACCCACCAGCAGCAATCCTGGCTCCAGCTGGCAATGCCTCACTGCAAGGCATGTTCTTGTTCAGCCTGTAAGGGAGCTTGCTGCCCTCCTTGTGCCTTGCCAGGTGTTATTTCTGATCCCTATGTGCACACAGCTGCATTACAGCATGGTACATTTATCCTGGAAGTGATGGGTTATCTGCAGCAAGGGCCTTCCTTCAGGCTGCTTTTTTCATCAGTAGTTTCCCTGTTCAGATTGAGAACATTTTGTGGTTGGCTCTGAATGCCAGGCACACAGCAATATCAGTTTAGACCTAATCAAAAGTCTTAAAAATGAGGGTTATCATGTGGCTTTGCATGGCTCCAGAGTGATATCTACAGGCTGCGATGTTGTATCTTGCTGCCTTTAAAGATTATGGTGCTGCTTCTCTTTCAAGGGATGGCAGTTTACAAAAATCCTTCAGATAGTGTTGCAATCTGAGGAAACAGTTCTACAGTTCAAGTTGTTAGCATATTTTTATTAAGTAACTCATTCTTACGACGATCGGAACATACAATGCATTTACTTTTCTCCAGGGTAAAAGCATTGTTTCATTTCTGGAGAACAGAACTCTTCAGACCTGCTGCTTGCAAGCTGTGGAAAGGAGGGAGGGAGAAAAAATTGCCTTTGACTAATTTAAGGGGTCTTCTAATTGTCTCCAACGTTCAAACAAGCTTCTTTTCCTACATCTATTAGGCCCTTTTCTGTGCTAAATGGCTCCATTAAATGGTTTTCCAGGTCTTAAGCTGGCCAGACAGCTATTAAAGTCAATGGGAGTTTAGCCTCTGAAAGAAATGGCGCATCAGTTCTTCTGCCAGGTGAAATATATCATTCAACAAAAGCTAAACCCTTATTCAGAGAATCTAACAAGCTAATGTAAACAAGGGCATAAAGCTTCTCGAATCCTGCTGAGCTGTTTTTGCAGAAGTAATGTCTTTTACAGCATAAAGCAAGTTCCATGGGAAAGCAAGCTGGGAAGTGCCTGTGGGCAGCTGCCTCCTCTGGGAGGTAGAGCTGGGGCTGCCCCGGCCTGGGTAGCCTTAATCATGCTGTGTTGGAAAGCATTACCTGGCCAGAAATACGCAGTGGGTGAATTTGCAAACACATCCGTGACAAATATCCTCAAATATCCTTAAAAGTGACTAGAATTGTAAAGATTGTAAATTCCTTGGCTGTGACCAGGTGCAAATTTCCAGCAGGTTAATTCTCACTACCCTGTCTCAGTGTGTCCTACAGTAGAAATTTTGAATTAGATGCAATTTTATCTTCTGCAGAAAATCTCAGAATAATTTTGATTTTCCAGAAAAGTAGAAATAGTTTGATAATGACACTGGTGAGGAAAAGTGGGACAACGGTTTCGTTTTTATCTTGAAAAATATTTATTTTGTCATTTCTTTGAAAAAAAAAAACAAAAACAAAAAACAGAAACAAAGATAGTAGCTAACTTCATCTTTTTAAAGACTTTTGGGCTCTTGTTTGTCTGCATGTCCTCCTCCCGTCCTGTGCTCCCGAAACGGTGATGGCTGGCCCAGCAAGGAAAACTGGTGTTCTGAAGTGAGAATGGTTTATTAGATCCACT